TTAGGTGCCCTGTACAGAAACAAAGCCTGCCTAAGCCCTACAGTAAAGGAAAAGATTGTACAGCAAATGCTGATGCCAATCATTGATTATGGGGATGTAGTATATGTGTCTGCATCGCAATCCCACATTAATAAACTCAACACATTGTATAACTCGTTCTGCAGATTTGTGCTACAATGTAATTACAGGACCCATCATTGTGACATGCTAAAGGAACTAAACTGGCTGTCGCTGGAATCCAGACGCACCCTTCATCTTTCCAGCCTTGTTTTTAAGAGCTTTTCTGGGAAACTCACACCCTACCTGAACAAAATGCTTTCCCCAGCTGTTCCCACTTTCTATAAGCTCCGATCCAGTACAAGCACTTTACTTAGTCTACCTCAATACAAAAAGAAAGCGGCCCGATCCTCCTTCTCCTACAGAGCACCGCAATTGTGGAACGACCTCCCGCACAATTTAAAATCTTCCCTAAGCCTAAAGTCATTTAAGAGATCCCTCTCTACATACCTCAAAACAGAATGCACGTGTCATGGTTGATTATATATTTCCTGCCTGTTCTATGTTAAATTTTGTATATATTGTGTATTAATATTGTTTTTGTATTTTGTTGTACCTAATGTAACAATGCAATGATTTGTGGACCCAGGACGTACTTGAAAACGAGAGAAATCTCAATGTATCTTTCCTGGTAAAATATTTTATAAATAATAAATAAATAAATAATATAAATTTTTTTTTTTTACACCATTAATTTATTTTAATTTTATTTTCAGCCAGCAGGGGGACCACCTGTCATTACAGGCAGCCCCCCTGCTGGCAATACAGAAGCTAGCTATCCCCGGCCATGTGATTGTGGGGTCCTCGCTAGGACCCCACTCTCACACGGCCGGGGGGCTTCCTGGAGGACGGACGTGCCGCGGGGGGCTCCCTGGGAGTCCCCCCCACCACGATCGCCGGCGGTCCCACGGGTAAGTACCGAAAGACCGGAGGGCGTACTATTACGCCCGGCGGCGTTTAGAGCCGCCTATAATAGGGCGTAATAGTACGCCCTCCGGTCTAAAGGGGTTAAGAAGTGCCTTAGAACCCATCTCTTTAGGAAAGCTTATGGCCTCCCAGAGTAACCTCTACCTCACATACCCGTCTCTTACTCTCTCCTATAGGGCAGCACTTTACTCTCTCCTCCAGCTCTGCTTCACTCCCACCTTATTTGATTGATATTTCCTGTCCTAATGTGTTTTTATTCCCCACCTACTATAGACTGTAAGCTCGTTTGAGCTGGGTCCTCTTCAACCTATCATCCCTTAGGTTTTTGTAATTGTCTCATTTATTGTTAAATCTCCCCCTCTTGTAATATTGTAAAGCGTTACAGAATCTGTTGGTGTCATATAAATGGCAATAATAATATGAGACTATAGTAGATCCCCCTCCTCCCCCCCACACACACACGTACAGTTCTCCCTCTCACCTGTGAGAGTGATTTGGAGGAGTATGGGCTTTAGTGGTGAGATGGGATGACCTGCATCATGGTCCCTCTCTCCTTCTCCTGCTTATGTGTCCACGTTATTAACAAATATTAATGGAGATGTACTGCACTAACAAGAGCAAAGAAAGTACAAATATTGAAAAACTACTTGGAAGAGATGCATTTATTATCTCTTAATTACTTTTCTTGATAAAAAAAAAATACTTTTTGTATTGTGTAAAAGTAACTGACAAAAAGACTCAATAGACGTAAAAAGCTTAAATCCAAGTATCCAATGCCATACCAATTATGGCCACTAGAATGCACACTATGTATAGTAACTACCTGTTCCTAATACAGGCACAACTTACAAACTAGGATAATTCCAAGAAAAAGCACAATAATAGACCTTTAGGACTCTTTAAATACACACCAGTTGTTAAATGTAGCAAATTTTATTTGATGTGAACTATTTCATCCTCATTTATAAAATTTTACTGGTTATGAATATATAATAATAAAGCATTATTTTAATAAGTAATTGTCATTTTACACTTCAAATAAATATGTTTGTCACTGAGCACTACTTGCAGAGTTATTTATTAATGTGAAAATTTAAAGTAAGTTCAAAATGAATTTCAAATTTAAGGTCAAAATAGGGATAATTAGGGATTATTCCAGCCTTAGTGTTCGAATAATCTAAATTTTATTAAAGACTGGAGACAAATATTTTTCTTAAACCTTCTTTACTGACACCTCCAGCAGCAAACAGTTGAGACAAGTATCAGAAAACAACCAATCATTACAAGGATGGGCATATAAAACTCAGAACAGTACACTTCCACTACCTCTTCATTTGATGAGGTCCATCAGGAGAGTATTATATTTCAAAGATCAACCAAAACAGAGCAAAAGATTCCGATAAATAAGAACCACAGGAAACCGTTCAGTTCCAGATTAAACTGAAAGGAAAAAAGAAAATAGTGAAATTAAGCTGCAGAAAACTAAATGCAGTCAAACACATGAGTAATTAACTGATCAAGAGCAGTAATACAATGCAACAACTATACAGACCTGCCCGTCCACATAGAAAACCATAAGCAATAAACAGTTCTGTTGTATGGAAATAAAAGAAAACAGAAAAGGGGTAGAGGAAGGAGGGAAAAATATTCGCCTCCTGTCTTTAATAACATTTACATTATTCGAACACCAAGGCTAGAATAATCCCAAATTTTACAGCAAGACAGGAGGCTTCATATTTTGCCATTTTAACACCTAGAAACAAAAACAAATTAAGCTTGATGAAGGGAACGAAAAAAGAACGTACCAAAAGTTGATTTATGCGACCAATCAGCTGCTTCCAGAATATCGAACAGAGAACCACCAAGATCTAAAGCTGCCAAACAAAATGTGCACCAAAAAGGAACCTTCCACACTGGCCAGTCCAAGTATCCAGTGTACCCATCTTGTCACACTGATGGCAGAGATAAGTTTAAAAGGGCAGTTGACCACGAAGAGGAGGAGAAAGAACCGAAGATTGTGTGGGGGTTTCAGTCTGTTTGTGTGTGTGTGACGGACTGCCTGGCACCCGGACCGTGTGCCTCTGTCAGTCGATGTTCCTAGTGCTCACCGAGGTCTCCAAACAGTCCACCAGATACCATCAGCACTGTAGTCCCCACGTCCAGCGTTACAGCTTGGCTGGGAACTCTACGTCCTCCACCCAACACCAGGATCCAGCTTCCTGTGGGTGAACCTCTCCTACTCCAGAGAGAGAGCATAGCAGGAACAGCTCTTAAAAGAGCTGATGATTATAATCCCAGGGGAATATAGTAATATAGCAATTCCCAGGGGAGATACAGCCGTTTCCCCCACACATGAGATGAGAGGGTAAGCAGGAACTCGATTTTAATGGAGGCACACTGGCTTTTATGCAAGTTTCCCAACAAGGGTGACACCCACATGGACCCTGTTGGGCACAGGGACACAAAATTAACAAACCAATGAAAACAGAGTTATACAGTGATAAACTCCCATACAATATACACATTATCTCCCCTCTGCCTGGGAGATAATTAAGGCAGATAATGCATTAACTTAATTATCTCCAAGCAGAAAAAACACATTTTTTTATATAAGTACCCCACAATACAACATATCCCCATAAATGTTACATACCCCGGATCTGGGTGAACAACATATCCAAAAATCACCCAGATCAGGGGTTCAGACATTTTATGGAAGTCATTGTTTTGCATGGTCCCATGCCTAAAACAGTTCCATAGAATCGCGGCTAAGTGCTGCTGGAGAACCGACCGGGAACCACAAGGTTTTCATGCCGAAAATAGTTCTAGGTCATTTGCGGCTAAGTCCCCCTGAAGTCTATTCGCAGTTTAGGTCAATGCAAACAAGATGGCCGCCCAGTGGCGTACTAAGGGGGGGACGGGGGGGGCGGTCCGCCCCGGGTGCCAGCCGGGTGGGGGGTGCCATGGCCAGCCCCGCCGCCCCCCCCCTCATGCTGCAGCCGCCCGAGCGCTCTGTATTGAGCCTCAGGCGGCTGCAGCTTTGACCGGGCGGTGCATCCATGAGGGCGGACCGCACCGCCCGGGCGCAGCCTGAGGAGAGGCTGACAGGAGGGAGCGCTCCTGTCAGCTCCCTCACTGCAGCATTGATAGTCCGCGGGTACAGAGAGCAGCTGTCTCCTGTACCCGGCAGGACTAACAGGAAGTGCACACTGAGTGTGCACTTCCTGTTAGTCCGCCGGGTACAGGAAACAAAAGCTCCCTGTACCCGCGGACTATACAGGGCTCGGCCACGCTACAGGGAGGTAGGGGTGAGAAAGAAATAAGGGGGGGTGAGAAAGAGAA